CAGATCTGACTCCTAGTGACCCCTCCTTGGGTTTCCAAGGCAGTATCACTAAGGAAGTAGATTGCCCAACCTTCCTTCCCAGGATAGGAAGATTGAACATTGTGAAAATGTCAGTTCTACCCAAAGCAATGTATACATTCAATGCAATCCCAATCCAGATCCCATCAACATTTTTGAAGGATATGGAAAAACCACTCACTAACTTTATATGGAAAGGAAAAAGACCCTGGATAAGCCAAGCACTGTTGAAGAAGAAGAACAAAATAGGAGGTCTCACACTGCCAGATCTCACAACCTGCTATACAGCCGTAGTAGTCAAAACTGCCTGGTATTGGTATAGTGACAGACCCATAGACTAGTGGAGTAGAATTGAGAACCCAGAAATAGATTCCTTGACCTATGGTCAGCTGATCTTCGACAAAGCGTCAAAATCCATTAAATAGGGAAGAGAATATTTGATTAAGAATAAATGGTCCTGGCAAAACTGGATATCCATTTGCAGAAAAATGAAACAAGATCTGTACCTCACACCATATACAAAAACTAACACCAGATGGATCAAAGACTTAAATGTGAAACCTAGAACTACAGAGTTCCTCAAGGAAAAATTAGGGGCCCTAATATATGGCATAAATAGACTATCAAGCATAACCCAAAATGCACAAACAGCCGAAGAGAAACTAGATAAATAGGACCTTCTAAAAAGTAAATTTTTATGTGCTTCCAAAGATTTCTCCAAAAGAGTCAAAAGAGAACCTACAGATCGGGAAAAAATATTTGGCAATGTGTAGCTGACAAGGGACTTATTTCTAGAATTTATAGAAAACTCCAACACCTCAATAACAAAAAGACAAATAATCCAATTAAAAAACGGTCAGAAGACATGAATAGACACTTCATGAAGAAGGATATTCAGGCGGCCAACAAACATATGAAGAAATGCTCACAATCATTAGCCATTAGAGAGATACAAATCAAAACAACGAGATACCATCTTACACCAGCATTAGTAGCCAAGTTCAACAAGACAGAAAACAACAAATGCTGGTGAGGATGTGGAGAGACTGGACTCTTACACTGCTGTTGGGACTGTAAAATGGTACAACCACTGTGGAAGGCAGTATGGTGATTCCTTCAAAAGTTGGAATTAGAAACACCATTTGATCCAGGCATTCCATTCCTAGGTATATATCCTAAAGAAGTGAGAGGCATGACAAGAACAGACATATGCATACCCATGTTTATCACAGCACTATTTACAATAGCCAAAAATGGAAACAACCTAGGTGTCCATCAACTGAGGAATGGATAACCAAACTATGGTACATACACACAGTGGAATACTATGCAACACTAAAGAATAATGTAGAATCTGCAAAACACAGGATAACGTAGTGTAAAGCTGAGTTACCTAGACACCAAGACACGGAGTTGTTTTAGAGCAGCAGTTTATTGGCGCTCCCGGGCGAGGTTCTCATGCCCTAACAGGAGGGCTAGAGAAGTCGCACCTCCGGGCAGGGGGCATGGATTTTTATAGACACAGAGAGGACCTGTTTGGAGACAGCAGGGGAGTGACAGGGTCCTTTAAGGAAATGGCAGGGTTCAATGAGCTGTTAGCAGGGGTCTGCACTTAATTAGCATGAGGGTGCTTCAGAAGAGGAAGTCTGTTACTGCATGGGACTTTACAGTCTGGGCGGGTGCTGCTACTGCGGTTGTCTTATCGGGTTGTCTCATCAGGGCCTGACATCTAGAGGAAGCTGCCAACTGACATTTTGGGGCCTGGGTTTTGCTTCAGCCTAACACGTAGATGAACTTGGAGGACATTACGCTGAGTGAAATAAGTCAATCACAGACGGACAAATATTGTATTAGTCCGTTATTGTAAAAATCAAAGAAATGTTTATCTATGGAAGGAAATTTTCTTTGTTGGTTATCTGGGGTGGGAGGGGAGGGAACACTGTTAGATAGGTAAAGATAAGTATCGATTTGGGTGAAGAGAAGGGCAATGTACCAAATGTGAGTGATCAACATGGTGGCATTGAGGAAGAGGAAGACACAGAGAGGTACATAGGAGGTACAGACAACAAAGATGAACCCTTTTGCACATACAGTACTGTGTTGTCAGTGAAGGCAAACATGAGTATACGGGTGGATAGATAGGTGGACAGGCTCAACTATTAGCTATGTCTATGAAGCGGAGAGTGTACCCAAGACCATGTATAGGGTTGGCAGAATATTGAATATCAATTCATGATGATATTTTTAAAGGATCATCACAATAATTGTTTACTGAAGTTCTACTATGTACAAGATACCATGCTAGTCCCTACTATCCAGAAATTACTATTTAGCTATAAAGGTAGGGTATGTATGGTATAAGATTAGTAATAACGGTAGTATGTAATAGTATAGATTTAGGGTTCTTAAAGTATAATCTCCAGAGCAGCATCACCTGAGAACTTGTTAGAAATGCAGATTCTGAGGTGTCATCCCAGTCCTACTGAATCAGCAGCTTTGGGATAGGACACAGCCCTGGGTTTTAAAAAGTACTTCCGGCGATTCTACGGAATGGTAAGTTTGAGAGTTACTGGTTTAGAAAATACCACTCGCCAGGGACAAAATCACTGTATTGCTTGGGACAATATAAGAGTATATGCAGCTAGCCATGTATATTCTTGGAATTCATAATTATGGAAGCAATAGAGAAAACACAGGAAATTCATATTCATAATAGTAACAGGCTTACTTTGTTTTTTACTGGCTCACTAAGCAAAGTAATATTTCTCCCAATTTATTTTCATATTTTCCCAGATAGTACTGAAGCCATTGTATAATCTTTCATTTTCTGTCTTTATTTGGACTTCTAAATCAATATATAAAATGCTACTTATATATTATGTATTATAAGTTAATTTGATTTAGAAAAATTTGAAGTACATAAGCTAAATGGTATTATGCAAGTAATTTAGCTTTGACATCTGTGACTGAAACAGAGTTCCATATGTGGTTTGTGTGTATATGTTTTATATAGATAAAACATATTTTTTCAGTTAAATTATTTTTATTTGTTCCCCATATTTATTGTTTCTTTTTGTAGCTTGTCTTTGTTGTTCTTGTTGTTACATGCCGTCAAGTCGGACCCGACTCATAGCTACTCCTCCTTAGGTTTCCGAGGTGGTATCACTGCAAAAGTAGACCGCCCAACCTTCCTTCTGAGGAGTGGCTGGTTAGCAGTCAAGTACCTTAGGCACTATGCTACCAGAACTCCCGTAGTTTATCTTAATTACTTTTTAAGAGTTTTGCTGTGTGATTCCCATAACCCATTGCTGTTGAGCAGACGCCAACTCCTAGCAGCTCTGTAGAACAGTAGAACTGCCCCATAGTGTTTCCAAGGCTGTAAATCTTTACAGAAGCAGACTGCCACATCGTTCTCCCATGGAGTGCTGGTGAATTTGAACCTACAACCTTTCTGTTAGCAGCCCAGCTTTTAACCACTGTGCCACCAGGGCTCATTTTATTAAAGTGGTGAATGCTATTCCCAATTTTTTCTAAAAACAGAAATCACCTTATTCGTTTGTTTTTATGCTTTTATTTGTTTTTAGGAATGGGAATGTTGAGATTAATTGAGGTTAGAGAAAACAAACAAACAAAACACAACAAAATACTTCTTTTCTAAACAAAATTAATTAACCTAAAATAAATTTGAAAATAAATATAGGCATTATATGATACTAACAGAAGCTTAGTTATTAATTGATTCAGAAAACGAGTTTTGAAAGAATGCAGAAACATAATGTAGAAATTGTAAACTTAAGAGTAATGTGACTAAGTCTTGTACATTGTCTTTGTACAGTAGTGTGTCCTTTGATCCTTTAAGATATGGAAACTTGACTGTCATGTCTCTGTGCAGTGCATGCTTGCTGAGGGAATGAGACTGTCAAAGATACTGTCTTTTGACAGATATTTCTTTATTTAACAATCCAAATTTTACTCAATAGGAAAGCAAGACCTGGTAAGCAGTATGATTTGTATAGTATAGCAGTAGGTTTTTTGTTTGAAATCCTTGATTATGAATTCAAATTCAGTGTCTGTGGGCTAAAGTTCTTTCTACTTCTAATATTTAAGAAAATGAAAGTACATAATTTTCTTTATGAAATACTCATTTTTTTTGCTATATTTTCTAACCTATTATGTTTTGAATTCCTCGAATCAGGATATGATGAGGGATGGATAAGACAGACTTTGAGATTCAAGTTTATAATTTTGGAACTTAGAAACTTAGTACAGGTACACTAATCACATTATCTTTTAATTCTAGGAAGTTTTACTGATGAAGCACAACAGTATTGTTTGAGATTAGTAGAAATGAATTCAAGAAGTGGTCCAGGCCTCATTGGCTTAGGCATTAAAGCATTACAAGACAAAAAGTACGAAGATGCTGTTAAGAACCTAACAGAAGGTAAGTGTGCAGTGTATAACATGTAACATGAAATGTAGTTTTTTAATCAGTAAGCATTATTATCTTTGGGCCTTTCTTTGAAGAATATTTATCTGAGATGAATGTAAACAAATATACCTCCATACTTTGAAATCTGCTTAGATTTGAATTCCAACTCTGCCACTCTGTAATTTCATGACCTTGGAAAATTAATTAAACTCTCTGTCTTAGTATTTTCATTTGTAAAATATGGATAATAATATCACTTGTTTCTTAGGACTGTTGTTGCTGGGACTGAAATAATACATGTATAGTGTCCAATATCAATTATCATTAAATTTTAGCTTTTAGTATTTTTATTAGAGTAGATAAAATACCATCTTAGGTATTAGCAATATAATCATGATATATAGAAATCAAACATATATGTTTAAGAGTATTTCTTAGAATAGAGAAGTAAATACATGCATCACAGTTTATGTCCCAAAACTTTGACAGTGAATTAAATTACCTGTGAATGATTATAATGCTGTATGTAAAAATAATAATAGGTAGTCTATTTATAAATAATTTCATTTTACTTGGATCCACAACCAGTGCCCATAGAATCAGTAGCCAGTAAACCAAGTGGCATATTCCATTGGCAAATCTGCTGCAGAAGACTTCTTTAAGTGTTGAAGAGCAAAGATATCACCTTGATGACTAAGCAAGCAATGATACCTGACCCAAGCAATGATATCTTTAGTAGCCTCAAATACATGTGAGAGCTGGACAATGAATAAAAAAGACTTCAGAAAAATTGATGCATTTGAGTTGTGGAGTCAGCGAAGAATTTTGAGTGTACCATGGCCTGCTAGAAGAATGAAGAAGTCTGTCTTGGAGGAAGTACAGCCAGAATGCTCCTTGGAAGCAAGAATGGCTAGAATTTGTCTCTTGTACTTTGGTCAGATTGCCAGAAGGGACTGATCCCTGGAGAGGGATGTCATGCTTGGTAAAGTAGAGGGTCAGTGAAAAAGGACAAGACCCTTCAACAGGATGGATTGACACAATGGCTGCGATAATGGGCTGAAGCCTGGCAGTGACTGTGAGGATGTTGTACTGTTTCATTCTATTGTACATAGAAAGGGTCACTATGAGTCGGAGCCAATTTCACATCACCTAACAACAACAGTGTTTATGAATAAGAATTTACGTTTTTATGGTTAGGCATAAAAATAATTGTTTAAAATAGTTTTTTTTTTTTTTTTCCCCAACCTACCTGCTTGTAAGAATTATTTGGGGCCACAGCCCAGATCTGTTGACTCAGAATGAATCAGCGGGGAAAAAGTTGGAGAATCGGAGAATTTAGTCTTCTTTTTTCCTTAAACATGCATTCTATGAGATTCTTAATGTAGGTAAGAGGACATTGGTCTGTGGAGTACAAATGAGAACTGCTGGTCTACAACAGTTTCAAAAATTTCATTACTTTTCTATTATAATTTTAGTATTTACTTTTTTTTTTTTTTTTAACATTTACTTGTGGTGAAAACATAGTAAGACATTCGCCAACATAACAACTTCCACATTTATAGCTCAGGGACATTGATGACATTTTTCATGCTGTGTCACCATTAGGAGCTGTGGCGGTATAGTGCCTCAGGCATTTGACTGCTAACCAAAAGGCTGGCAGTTCAAACCACTTAGGTTGTTTCCATCTCTTTGCAGTCGTGAATAGTGCTGCAATGAACATGGATGTGCATATATCTATTTGTGTCTTGGATCTCAGTTTTTTAGGATATGTACCTAGTAATAGGATTGCTGGATCAAATGTTATTTCTATTTCCCACTTTTTAAGGAATCACTGTACCGATTCCCACATTGGTTGTATCATTTTGTAGTACCACCAGCAGTGTATAAGAGTCCCAGTCTCTCCATATCTCATCAGCATTTGTTATTTTCTGTCTTCTTGAACTTTACTACTCATTCTGGGGGTGAGATGTTATCTCAGGGTTGTCTTGATTTGCTTCTCTCTAATGGCTAGTGATTGTGAACTTTTCTTTGTGTGTTTATTGACCTCTTGAATATCATCTCTGATAAAGTGTGTGTTCATTTCTTCTGCCCATTTTTTCATTGGATTGTTCATCTTTATGATGTTGAGGTGTTGGAGTTTTCTATAAATTTTAGAGATAAGTCCTTTGTCTGATATGTCATTGCCGAATTTTTTTTCCCATTCTGTGGGTTATCTTTTTACTCTTTTGGGGAGGTCTTTTGATGCACATAAGAATTTAATTTTCAGAAGGTCACAATCACCTAGTTTATCTTCTGCTGTTTCTGCATCTTGGATTATGCTTAATGCTCTATTTATGCCATAAATTAGGGCCCCTAAGTTTGCCCCTATTTTTTCTGTGATGAATTTTATGGTTTTGGGTTTTACATTTAAGTCTTTGATCCATCTGGAGTTAGTTTTGTGTGTGGTGTGAGGAGGTTTGGATCTTGTTTCATTTTTCTGCAAATGGATACCCAGTTTTGCGAGCACCATTTTTGATGGAGACTATCTCTTTTCTTTAAATGCATTTTGGCCCTTTGTCAAGGATCAGCTGACGACTGGTAGATGGGTCTATTTCTGGGTTCTCAGTTCTGTTCCACTGATCTATGTGTCTGTCGTTGTACCAATACCAGGCTATTTTGACTATTATGGCTGTGTAGTAGATTTTGAGATCTGGAATACAAGACCTCCTGCTTTGTTCTTCTTCAGTAGTGCTTTGCTTATCTGAGGGCTCTTTGCTTTCCTGTGTAAAATTAGTAATTGGTTTTTCCATGTCTTTAGAGAGTGTTGATGGAATCTGAATCAGGATTGCATTGAATATATAGATTGCTTTGTGTAGTATTGACGTTTCACAATATTCAGTCTTCCTATCCATGAGCATGGTATGGTCTTCTATTTATGTAGATTTCTTGTGGTTTCTTGAAGTAGTCTTCTGTAGTTTTCTTTGTACAGGCTTTTTTTTTTATTATTATTCCTAGTAAGGTTTATCCCCAAGTATTTTATTTTTGTAGTAGCTATTGTAAATGGTATTTATTTCCTTTTTAGCATTCTCTTTGTTGGTATAGAGAAATCTAACTGATTTTTGTATGTTGATGTTGTATCCTGCCACTATGCTAAATTTCTCAATTAGTTCCAGTAGTTTTCTTGCTGAGTCTCTTAGATTTCTGTGTGTAGGATCCTATAATCAGCAAACAGGGACAGTTTGACTTCTTTCTTACCAATTTGAATTATTTTGATTTTCCTTTTTTTTTTTTTTGCCTTATTGCCCTGGCTAGGGCTTCCAGTACAGTGTTGAATAGAATTGAAGATAGAGGACATACTTGTTTGGTTCCTGTTCACAAGGAGAATGGTTTCAGGCTATCTCCATTGGGAATCATGTTGGTTATTGGTTTTGCATATATACGTTTTATCACATTGAGGAATTTCCCTTCTATTCCTATTTTTCTGAGAGTTTTTTTCAGGAATGGGTGTTGGATTTTATCAAATGCCTTTCATGCATATATTGATATGGTCATGTAGTTTATTTTTTCTTTATTTTACTTATATGATGGATGACATTGATTGTTTTTCTAATGTTGAACCATCCTTGCATTCATGGTATGACTTCTACTTGTTCATGATGTATTAATTTTTTTTGATATGTTGTTGGAGTCTGTTGGTGAGGATTTTGTTGAAGATTTTTTAATCTATATTCATGATGGATATCGGTCTGTGGTTTTCCTTTCTAGTGGTGTCTTTGCTTGGTTTTCCTATTAGGATTATGCTCACTTCATAAAATGAATTTGGTAGGATTCCATTCTTTTCTTTGTTCTAGAATAGTTTGACTAGGATTGGTGTCAGCTCTTCTCTGAATGATTGGTAGTATTCTCCAGTGAAACCACTGGGCCAAGACTGGACTTCTTTTGTTGGTGACTTTTTTATGACTTGGTCAGTTTCTTCTTTTGTTATGAATCTATTCAAATTTTCTATCTCAGTCTGTGTTAGTTTAGGTAAGTAACGTGTTTCTAGAAATCTGTCCATTTTTTAGGTTTTCAAATTTGTTAGAGTACAGTTCTTCATAGTATCCTGAGGCTTTTTATTTCTGTTGATTCTGTTGTGATGTCACCCCTTTCATTTCTTATTTGTGTTACTTGCATCTTCTCCTTCTTTCCCTTTGTTAAGTTTACCAGTGCTCTGTCGATTCTATTAATCTTTTCAAAGAACCACCGTCTAGTCTTGTTGATTTTTTCTGTTGTCTTCCTATTTTCTGTCTCACTGATTTCTGCTCAAATCTTTTATTATTTCTTTTCTTCTGGTGACTGTAGGCTTTTTTTTTTTTTTTTTTTGTAATTATTGGAGATGTTGGGTTAAGGTGTTGATCTTGGCTTTTTCTTCTTGGATGCATGCATATATTGCTATAAATTGGCCTCTGATCACTGCTTTTGCTGTGTCCTAGAGATTTTGGTATGTTATTTTTTCATTCTCATTTGATTCAAGGAATTTTCTTATTTCTTCTATTACCCAGTCATTATTGAGGAGGATGTTATTCAGTTTCCATGCATTAGCTCTTTTTCTGTTGGTCTTCCTAGTGTTGATTTCAAATTTTATAGCATTGTGATTTGAGAAGATGCTTTGCAGTATTTCAAATTTTAAATTTATTGAGGTTTGCTTTGTGGCCTAACATGGTCTATCCTGGAGAACGTTTCGTAGGCACTGAAAAAGAATGTATATTGTGCCGTTGTTGCTCTAGAATGTCTATAAGGTCAAGTTAGTTGATCATATTGTTTAGTTCTTCTCCATCTGTGTTGAGTTTCTTTCCAGTTGTTCTATCTTTTATTGAAAATGGTGTGTTAAAGTCTCCTAATATTACTATGGAGTCATCTTTTTGTCTTTTCAAGTCTGTTAAAGCCTGATTTATGTATTTTGGTGCTGTTTCATTGGGTGCGTAGATATTTATTGTGACTATGTCTTCTTGTTCAATTGATCTTTTAATCATTATATAATGTCCTTCCTTGTCTCTTATGGTCATTTCTGTCTTAAAGTCTATTTTATCAGAAATTAATATTCCCACTCCTGCTCTTTTTTATTGCCATTTGCCTGATATATCTTTCTTCAGCCTTTGATTTTTTGTCTATTTTTGTCTCTATGTCTAAGGTGAATCTCTTATAGACAGAATATTGATGAGCTGTGTATTCTTATCTTGTCTGCAACGCTCTGTCTCTGGAGTGGTGCATTTAATCCATTTACATTTAGTGTAATTATAGACATGTATGAATTTATTGATATTTTGTTATATGTATTTTTGTGTTGTTGATTTCTTTGTTCCACATAATTTTCTGTGCTGAGCTCATTTTGTTTATGAATCATATTATTATCTTCTTTGTTGTTATCATGTTAGTATTTGCCACATATTTGTGCTTGTCTTCTTTTTTATTTTGAGGTGAAAGTTTATTATTTTTCTTTGAGCTTACCCTGTGATTTATTATTTTCTTCTCAAGTTTAAAACAATCTGTTCTATCTCACAATTGTCTTGACTTCCTCACTATGTAGAAGTCCTGTAACCACAATTTATTCTCTCTTTTTGGTTTGTAGTTGTCCTTATTTACCAATTGATGTCTCTGGTTCCCTGTTTATAGTCTTGTAAGCTTATTTTACTTTAGATACTTCTACAACTGTATTGGGTTCTAGGTTATGTCATCATGTGTGTTAATTCTAAGTTGTTGTTTGCTATTGTTTGTTCTCTGTCCAAAGGACTCCCTTTAGCATCTCTTATAAGGTTGGTCTCATTTTAACAAATTCCTTTAATTTCTGCTTCTCTGGAAATGTCCTATTTTCACCATATTTGAGGGACAATTTTGCTAGGTTTATAATTCCTGGATTTATTAGGCAGTGTTTCTCTGCTATTCATAAGGTTTTCACTCACCAGTTCTTTGAGAAGTGGATGGCCCCTTCCTTCTTAGGAGTCTGTCTTAGTCTGGAAGTTCTGCTGAAACATGTCCACCATAGGTAACCCTGCTGATATTTGAAATACTGGTGGTGTATAGCCTTCAGCCTCACAGCAACATGCAAGCCCTCACAGTACAACAAACTGACAGACCAGTGATATCTCTTCAGAGGCCATCTAAAGAATACATTTGACGCACTGAACACCAATGACTGAAAACCAGAGGGTTTGTGGGGACAATTAACAAAGTAGTATTGACATTATTTGTCTTCAGTTTCATTAATTCTGTTTTCCATTGACTCAATTCTACTCCTTTGTGTATGCAATGTGTTATCTATTTCCAGAATATTAGTATTAATCTTCTGGATTTCTATTTGTTGTTTTTGTATTGTTTCTAATTTTTTGTTTATTTAGTCAATTTGTTCTTGTATTGTTTTCCTACATTGTTCTAGAGTTTTGTCTGTGTTTTAATTTTGTCATTGTTTTCCTTGATCTATCTCTCAATCTTTTGAAGGTACCCAAATGCAATTCTTTTGAATTCCTTATCAGAGAGTTCAGTGCTGCTGCTTTTCAGTGATGTTTTTTGGTTTTGTATCCTGGTCCCTCATTTCTACTTATCTTGCTTCTTTGTTTGCACTCAGATGGTCAGTTGTCTCTGAGACATTGTGATGTTGTTGTATTTATGGTCAATTTGTGGTTGCATGTTGGTGTGATCTGCCCAAGATTTTTGTTTTCCTTTTTTTTTTTTTGATATATCAAATAAATGAGCCTGGGTACTGTTCTGCTCCATTTGCTGGTTAGCACTTAGGCACTCACCTCTTGTCTCCTGGTGGAGGGATATCATTGCTGATGTCAGATAGATCTTGGCTGAAGGAAAAGAATAGCAGAAAGATGTTTACTTGTGTTTTATTGACTATGCAAAAGCATTTGATTGTGTGGATCATTGCAAATTTTGGATAACATTGAGAAGAATGGGAATTCCAGAACACTTAATTGTGCTCATGAGGAATTTGTTCATAGACCAGGAGGCTGTTGTTTAAACAGAACAAGGGCACACTGCATGGTTTAAAATCAAGTAGGGAGTGTGTCAGGATTGTGTCCTTTCACCACACTTATTCAGTCTGTATGCTGAACAAATAATCTGAGCAGCTGGACTATATGAAGAAGAATGTGGCATCAGGATTGGAGGATAGTCATTAACAACCTACCTGCATTATGCAGATGACACAATATTGCTCGCTGAAAGTGAGGATGACTTGAAGCACTTACTGATGAAGATTGAAGACTACAGTCTGCAGTATGCATTACAACCTCAATATAAAGAAAACAAAAATCCTCACAATGGGACCAATAAGCAGCATCATGATAAATGGAGAAAAAATTGAAATTGTCAAGGACTTCATGTTACTTGGTTCTACAATCAACACCAATGGAAGCAGCAGTCAGGATATCAGATGTCATATACCATTGGGCAAATCTGCTGCAAAGGACCTCTTTCAAGTGCTGAAGAGCAAAGATACTTCCTTGAAGACCAAGGTGAACTTGATGCAAGCCATGGTATTTTCAGTCACCTCAAATGCATGTGAAAGCTGGACAGTGAAAAAGAAGGACTGAGTCAATGCTTTTGAGTTGTGGTGTTAGTAAAGAATGCTGAAAGTACCATGGACTGCTAAAAGAACTAATGAATCTGACCTGGAAGAGGTGCAGCCAGAATGCTCCTTGGAAGTGAGAATGGCTAGATTTCATCTCACCTACTTTGGTCATGTTGTAAGAAGGGACCATTCCCTGGAGAGGGATATTTTGCTTGGTAACGTGGAGGGACGACGAAAAAGGGGAAGGCCTTCAATGAGATGGATGCACACAGTGGCTGCTGTACATGAGGTCTCTATGAGTTGGAGACGACTCCATGGCAACTAACTACAACAACAGCGGATGAGGAGAGACCCACTGTTGCATCTAGATGGCTGCTTACAAGCTTTTAAGATCCCAGTTGCTACTCACCAAAGCAGCATGTAGAACAATGTTTTTGTGTGTTATGTTATGCCAATTGAGCTTGAGATAAATACAAACATGTTTTCTGTTGTTGTTGTCAATGTGTCACTTGTACTAGGTTTTTTTTTTTTTTTTTAATTTTCTTATTCAGTATCCTAGATATTTGAAAAAAGGATACTTCATAGATTTGGGGCATATTAAGAAACCTGCATAAGATCATTGTTGATTAACAGATAAGTTCTTTTGTTGCTGCTGTCCTGACTCTCTGTTATTCTTGCAAGGCTGTTTATTTCAGTTAGAAGCAATTTGACCATGCTTTATTTGTATTGCCTCTTAACTATAGTACCTTACCTGAGAAGCTGAAGACAGAGAAATTTTCTCTCTTTTTAATCCTTTTCTTGATGTGACAGTCAAGTTAAGACCTAGCATATGCTTTCTCTGTTTGCTTCCACACTGTCTGTTAACATTATTATTATTATTATTTATACCATATAAAATGACACTCTCCAAAGATACTTTCTCCAGGAGCTGTCTTTTAAAACTCCATGCGATTTTCTAGCTTAGTGTAGGTTTGAAATTGTATCTCTCTTAATGCACCAGATTCTCCTTTTTAGAGCATCCTACTTTTTTAGTTTAGCTAGATAAATTATGAGAGAAGGTTAGAATACAAAACAAACCAAAAAACAATGGAAGAACCTGTGAATAGGAAGAAAGTAAACAGCTCTTGATGAATTAAATTTAGTAATGTAAGACTTGGTGGGATATTTTCTTTTGAAGATAATTCTATATGAGATTTGGGAACTAAGAGTCTTAAAGACTAAAAAATAACATTAAGGAAGCTGTATAGTTTTATATTTAATTTTTTTCTCATAGAAGTATATATTAACAATAATGTCCTTTTGTTTGCTTGAATACTGCTGTACTTTCACTGTTTTTGAAGTGTCAGAGAAAAGCATTAGAAGTCAAAATATGCCTATTTCAAAACATACCAGACAGCCATGCTTTTTTTCCTTTTATTATTATTGTGTGTTTGTGTTTGTATGTGTATCCTGCAAGGCCCACTTCAGTTGTTGATATCCACAGTTTCTCTATACTGCAAGGGCAGAATTAATTGTCAAACATAAAAATAGAATGTAAATGATGAATGTTAACATAGGGAAAACACAGAATGCTGTGTGAGCCTGATGTGACTTTAACTTAGCCTAGTTAGATATTGACATTTCTGGATGTACCTACATTTAAATTGATATCTGAATGACAAATACAAATCAGCCAGAGGATTAAGGGGTGAGGGGAACTTTCCCAGGGAAGACAAGAAGTGGTGAAATAGCCTGAGGTGAGAAGAAAGCTGATGTTCAGGTAACTGCTTGCTGATAGTAAAATTTGACAGTGAAGTATGGAGTAAGAAGTGGCAAGAGGTGAGGCTGGAGAGGAGCCTTGAAAGCATGTTAAGGAGTGGGACCTTATCCTAAGGACACTGAAGAACTAGAAAGGTTTTAAGTAGGGGAAATTTATCATCCAAGTTGTGTTTTTAGAAATAGTCTGACTACAGTGTACAGAATGAATTGGAATGAATGGCAAGTGCTGGAGTCCCAGGGCTGAGATAAAGATAATGGAGGTCTGAACTGAAGTGGTGGTGATAGAAATGGAGAAAAGTATGTGGAGAAAAGTGGATTTGGGATGGAATCAGTGTGACTTTGTGATTGATTAGATGTGAGATTAAGGAGGAGGGAGCAGTCTGATTTGGGTAGTAGGTGGTAACATGCATCTAAGTAGTCACTTTGGGATTATGATTTTATTTTTTATCCTTTTAGGGTTAAAGGAAAGCCCTCTCTGTATAGCTGGGTGGTATCATCTAGCAGAAGCCCAAGTCAAAATGCACAGACCTAAGGAAGCTGTCATTTCATGCAATCAAGGTATTTTCGACAACTCAGGTTTACATGTAGGGGTTGCCAATCTTAATTTAAGGAAGAAAGATAATAGTTTAAAAAACTCTATTATATTTTCTATTTTAAGTAGCTGATTAATTTAAATCTCATAGATGAGGTTAAAAGAATACCAAGTTTGCATGGACGTCTGCTAGCATATTTATTTTTAAACTGAAAATAGGTATTTATCAAAGGTTTCCTGCACTTTGAATTTTGACATAGCATTAAAACAAAAATCATATTAAGTCAATAATAGAAATTTATTGAAGTTTATTCAAATACCTAAAGTCATTGACTTACAATGAAGTTCTGTTCTGACGATGCCATTGTAAGTTGTTTTTGATGTAGGTTGAATACTTTTTTTAAAAGAAATTTTAATTATTATTGCTATAGCCTGTAATATGGCAGTGTTGTGAATGGTAAATCATAACATAGGACATCTGCAAATGATTATCTGAGAATAACATCAGCAAATTACATGCTGCAACATTGTATGTAGTACATTACTATATAGTATATTACTAATGATAAGATGTAACAAAAAAAACCCAAAACAGTAATAGTAAGTGTGATTTGTTGTAACTTGAATACTTCAGAAGTTGAGGACTACCTGCATATGATTTGCAAATCAGGGTAACATTCCAAATAGGTAATCAAAATGTGCTGCTGATGAAAGAACTTCCAAAGATTCTTATACCCCATCTTACTGACATTTCCATGGAAAAGGGCTGTGACAAAACTGATAAAACAATTTATAGTCAGGAAGGATTTCATACAGCATTGTCTTCATGAACGATTAACATAATTACTGACTTACCCTGAAACTTACCTCCACTATGACCTTTGGAGTATCTGTCTCAGAACTGACTGCACGTAGGTAATTCTTCAAAAGAGTATAATGTCTAAGGCAAAATGGTCTTCACTAATTTATCTAGACCATGGATAAAAAGTTGACTTTTAGAAACCAGTTTCTTCAATGCTAAAGGTTCAAAAGGACATGTAAGAGCAGTGGCCTGGGTGAGTTACCCCAACACCATGAACCCCATGGTTTCCAGGAGAATTAAAACTTTATTCAATAGACATTTTAGGTTTGGGAGGAGAAGTACTCCATCTTTAAAACAGGAAGTTTGTAGTATGTCCCAGGACCTTCATGAATTCTTTCTCTCTCAACATTTCTCTGATATAGATAAGGGAAACATCTTAGGCTTATTAGTGCTTGTTTGACTGTGATGGGTCAGGTGGGGATAGGGAATCACAAAAAGTGATTTGCTGTTCCTGAACCAGCTAGTAGTAGCCTAGTATCTGTAACTGATAAAACAGTTTACTCTGGTCTACTCTAATTCAGCCCCTGTCCCCTTCTGGTATTCTTAATTTGCTATGCTTCTAGAGATGCTTTGACTAAAGGCTAATAACCTTTATCGTTTAGCAGATACAACCATTGTTGTGTTTCAGAATGTTCAGTTTTATTACATGTCATGTGAAGATAAAAAAAAAAAAACAAAAACCAACCACTACCATCGAGTCCATTCTGACTCATAGCAACCTCCCCAATGCAGTAAATCTTTACCAGAAGTGGATAGCCCCATCTTTCTTCTGTGGTGGGCTGGTGGCTTTGAACTGCCAACCTCTGGTTAGCAGTCAGATTCCTTAGGCACTGCACCCCCAGTTTCAAATTCAGTTCTTTCTATAAAACATTCAGGAAAGAATTTCTATTTAGCTTTGAATCATTCATGTATAATTGTTTTGGCAACCTATGATTTTTGTATCTGCAATTTATATATTATTCCTTAAAAAAAGCAAAGTTATGTGCTGTCTTCATTTACGTGTCCTTAATTTTATCAGCTCTGAAGAACATAGATAATCTTGGTGTGCCTGGTGGCAGTCTCCATCAGAAGAATCTTTGTCTTCGTTTGAAAGCAGAGGCTTTTATTAAACTCTCAGATTATGAGTCTTCAGAGGAAGCAATTCGTACTCTTGATCAGGTAATCTTATCATTGAGTTTTTCCCTTTAATTTTATTTCATTTTCAGTAAATCAGACGTCAAACACTCTCCTACCACAGATATTTATGTATACAAATTTTGTGTTGATGTATGAATTTACCCTTCCTGAGCTTTTGTAAGTCATTCACACACTCTGAAATTCTTGAAGTTATTCATTTTCCGGTTGGTTAAATATTTATAGTACTCTTCATGTGGTGAAATTTCTTACCTTAATCTTTCCTCTATTCTCCTTTCCCTTTTTTTTTTTTTTTTTAATTTTGCCATTTTAGCTTATTACTACTTGATTATTATTAATTTGGGATTTGAAATATTTTCCCATATTTGAAATATTTCTTTGATGATTAACAGGAATAATTAAGGATACCCAGTAGCTTCATTAGAGAAGATATTGTTTCTTTGTTTAATTCAACTTAATAAAGTACTCAGAGAAACACTGATACTTAAGAAAGAAACTAATTTCTTAATATTTTTGGTTCAATCATTTTGAAATTGCCTATAGAAAAAACCAAAAATGAAACCAAACTCAGTGCCATTGAGTTGATTCTGACTCATAGTGACTCACTTGGGTTTCTGAGGTGGTAAATCTTTATGGAAGTAGATTGCCCAGCCTTCCTTCCACCGAGTGGGTTTGAACTGCCAACCTTCTGGTTAGCAGTCAAATGCTTTAGGCACTATGCCACCAGAGCTCCCGTCTAGAGATAAAACCACTAGTAAATGGTGAATTATAATAACATGGTACCTTTAAAGATTTTTGGCAGGTAAAGATTATTCTTTGTCTAAAATGAAAATTATATCACTCAGCTTTTTAAAATCACTTTTGTATATATCAAAGGGGTTTGTATATCACTATTTTTTTTTCTGTAAAATTAGAATGGCTATCAGCATACTTTAAGGACTAATATTTTATTTTCACACCCAATAATGTGTTTGTATGAATGCTTTGTAGAGATCTTTCCAATATTTTTTTCACAAAAAAACAAAATGAAAGGTGCTTTGAAGAACTGGTAGCGTCCAAGTCTGAGGCAAAAAATACAAGATGAGCCCTTAACATCTTGTTATGCTTCAAAACAGCGACACTTTAAAAAGCCATTAGTATGGTGCCAAAAGGACTCAGAGTGAAAAGATTCTCTTTGGCTAAAAAGAGGATAGTTTGAGCACTGATAACTGCAGTAAATTGAAACACATCAAACACATTTAAATCCACAAGTTCATGATGATACAAAACAACAACAATAACAACACAACTAAACATTCTCAATAAAACAGATCTTTGGAGGATGCTAGGGAGCCAACTGTTGTTGTTGTTGTTGTGTGCCTCGAGTCAGACCCGACTCATAGCGACCCCTCCTTGGGTTTCCGAGGCAGTTTCGGAAGTAGATTGCCCCATCTTCCTTCCGGGGAGTGGCTGGTGGGTTTGAACCGCCAGCCTTCTGGTTAGCAGTCAAGTGCCTTAGCCACTATGCTACCAGAACTAGGGAGCCAACTAGAAACTGGTAAATAAAAAGAATCAAGTATTTATCCTCCCTTTCCTACCCAACCTTTTCCTCAGAATAATCAGATGATGAGGGGAAGGGAAATTACTCATTATTAAAGTATTCCAGTTAATAAGGGAAGAGGGAATGATGGAATTAGAAAATCACTATTTTGCTATCCCTAATGAATTAGGAAAGGTGGGTATTTGCATGCATGAAGCCATCCCCGGGTGCAGGCCACAGTAAGCCAGCCCCAGGACCAGTGGAAGATGAGTGTTTGCCCCAGGGGCAGGCCAGGTAAATGAGCAGGGCTAAGAGACTAGGAAATGAGCAGAGCAGTTTAGAACAGCTAGGGGAGACAAACTTGTCTGTCAGTTTGTCCTGTTGTGTTGGCTTGACTGTTGCTATGAGGCTGGAGGTCATGCCACCAGTATTTCAAATACCAGCAGGGTCACCCATCGTGGACAGGTTTCAGGGAAGCTTCCAGATTAAAGCAGACTCGGAAGAAAGAAGAGACCATCCACTTCTCAAAGTATTGGCCAGTGAAAACCTTATGAATAGCAGTGAAACACTGGAAAACTTTATGAATAGCCCTGAAGCATTGTTTGATACAGTACCAGAAGATGAGCCCCTCAGGTCAGAAGGCACTCAAAATCTGACTGGAAAAGAGTGCCTCCTCAGAGTAGAGCTGAATTTAATGATGTGGATAGAGTAAAGCTTTCAGGATCTGCATTTGCTGATGTGGCACATCTCAAAATGAGAAGAAATAGCTGCAGACATCTCTTAATAATTTGAACATGGAATGTACAAAGTATGAATCTAGGAAAATTGGAAGTGTTAAAAATCAGATGGAATGCATAAAGATCGCTATCATGGGCGTTGTTGTTGTTATGTGCCATTGAGTCAAACCCAACTCAAAGTGACCCCTCCTTGGTTTCTGAGGCAGTATTATTATGGAAGTAGATTGCCCAACCTTCCTTCTGAGGAGTGGCTGGTAGGTGGACTGGTTTTGGCCATTCTGAATCAGACAACCGTATGCTCTACTGTGCTGCAAATGACAAATTGAAGGACAAGGGCATGGCATTCATCATCACAAAGAATGCATCAAGATCTATCCTGGAGAACAACGCTTTCAGTGATAGGATAATATCCACATGCCTCTGAGGAAGACCAGTTAATACTATTATTATTCAAATTTATGCACCTACCACCAAAGCCAAAGATGAGGAAATTGAAGATTTTGATCAACTTCTGCAGTCTGAAATTGACCAAACATGCAATCAGGATGTGCTTATTATCACTGGTGATTGGAATGCAAAAGTTGGAAATGAAGAATCACCAGTAGTTGGAAAATATGGCCTTAGTGATAGAAATGATGCTGGAGATGGGAGGATAGAATTGTGCAACACCAACGACTTATACATTGCAAATACCTTTGTCAGCAACACAAATGGTGGCTGTACATGTGGACTTCACCAGATGGAGTACACAGGAATCAGACTGACTACATCTGTGGCAAGAGGTGATGGAGAAGCTCAATATCTTCAGCCAAAACAAGGCCAGGAGCTGACTGTGGAACAGACCATCAACTGCTCATATGCAAATTCAAGTTGAAGCTGAAGACAATTAAAACAAGTCCATGAGAGCAAAAATATGACCTTGATTATATCCATCCTGAATAGATTTGATGCATTGAATGCCAATGACTGAAAACTAGAAGAATTGTGGGATGACATTGAGAACATCATCCACGAGGAAAGCAAAAGATCATTAAAGAGATAGGGAAGGAAGAAAAGACTCAAATGGATGTCAGAGGAGACTCTGAAACTTGCCCTTGAAGAGAGAGTTGCTTAAATGGGTGGAAGAATCAACAGGATGAAAGAGCTGAACAGAAGTTTTCAAAGAGCAGCTCGAGAAGGCAAAGTCAGTTATTATAATGAAATGTGCAAAGACCTGGAGTTAGAAAACCAAGAGGGAAGAACATGCTCAGCATTTCTCAAGCTGAAAGAACTGAGGAAAAAATTTAAGCCTCGAGTTGTAATATTGAAAGATTCCATGGGCAATATGTTGAATGATGCAGGAAACATCAAAAGAAGATGGATGAAGTACAGAGTCACTATGCCAAAAAGAATTGGTAGATGATTGTCCATTTCAGGAGGTGGCATATGATCAAGAACTAATGGTATTGAAGGAAGAAGTCAATGCTATACTGAAGGAATTGCAGAAAAACAAGTCTCCAGGAACTGATGGAATAACATTGAGATGTTTCAATACATGGATGCTGTGCTTGAGGCACTCAGCTATGCCAAGAGACTTGGAGGACAGCTACCTGGGCAACTGACTGGAAGAGATACATATTTGTACCCATTCCAAAGAAAGGTGATGATCCCACAGATTGTGAAAATTATTGGACAATATCATTGATATCATGCAAGTAAAATCTTGAAGATAATTCAAAAACGGTTGCAGTAGTATATTGACAGAGAACTTCCAGAAATGCAAGCTGGATTGAGAAGGGAACGTGGAACAAGGGATGTCATAGCTGATGTCAGATGGATCTTGGCTCAAAGCAAAGAATGGCAGAAAGATGTTTACTTGTGTTTTATTGACTATGCAAAAGCATTTGATTGTGTGGATCATAACAACTTGTGGATAACATTGAGAAGAATGGGAATTCCAGAACACTTGATTGTGCTCATGAGGAACCTGTACATAGACCAGGAGGCTGTCATTCGAACAGAACAAGGGGATACTGCATGGCTTAAAATCAAGAAGGGAGTACGTCACGGTTATATCCTTTCACCGTAAGTATACAATCTGTATGCTAAACAAATAATCTGAGAAAATGGACTGTATGAAGAAGAACATGGCATCAGGATTGGAGGAAGGCTTATTAACAATATGAGGTACACAGATGACACAACTTTGCTTGCTGAAAGTGAGGATGACTTGGAGAACTTACTAATGAAGATTAAAGATTAAGTTTGCAGTAGGGATTATACCTTGATATAAAGAAAACAAAAATCTTCACAACTGGACCAATAAGTAGATCACGATGAATGGAGAAAAGACTGAAGTTCTCAAAGACTTCATATTACTTGGTTCTACAATCAGCACCAATGGAAGCAGCAGTCAAGACATCAAAAGACGTGTTGCATTGGGCAAACTTGTTGCAAAAGACCTCTTTTAAGTGCTGAAGAAGAAAGATATCGCCGTGAAGACTAAGATGTGCCTAACCCAAGCCAGGGTATTTTCAGTCGTCTCGTATGCATGCGAGAGCTGGGCAATGAATAAGGAAGACCGAAAAAAGAGTTGATGCTTTTGAGTTGTGGTGTTGGCAAAGAATGCTGAAAGTACCGTGGACTTCTAAAAGAACTAACAAATCTGTCCTGGAAGAAGTGAGGCCAGAATGGTTCCTGGAAGCGAGAATGGCCAGACTTCATCTCACTTCCTTTGGTCATATTGTCAGAAGGGACCACTCTCTGGAGAAGGATGTCATGCTTGGTAAAGTGGAGGGTCAATAAAAGAGGGGAAGGCCCTCAACAAAATGGATTGACATGGTGGCTGTAGCAATAGGCTCAGGTATAGTAGGGAATGTGAGACTGGCACAGGACTGAGCAATGTTTCATTCTTTTGTACATTGGGTTGCTATGAGTCGGAGACAGCATAGCAATAACAGCAACAAATGAGTTAATACATCATCAACTCAGTGGTTGCTAACATGAAAAAAAGATAATCAGACACAAGAAGATACAAGTACAGTTAAGTATTCTTGCTAAAACATTAAACATGAGTATGATCAAGCTTCTAGATCTAACTGCTAATTTACAGAAAATACGAAGGACTAAACCACATGTAAACACCGTGAGAATGTTGTTGTGTGCTGTTGAATTGATTGATTCCAACTCCTGTTGACTCTGTAGGACAAAGTAGAACTGTCCCATAGGGTTTCCAAGGCTGTGATCTTTATGGAAGCAAGCTGCCACATCTTTTTCCTGCAGAGTGACTGGTGGGTTTAAACCACTGACCTTTCTGCTGACAGGTGAGTGTTTAACCACTGAACCACCTACCATCATAATATATCAGCAAAATTCAGACTTCGAGAAAATGTGACAAATAGGAGAAAAATAAGAGATGGAAGGAACTGTATAAATTAAAAGAAACTTATAAATGTTAGCCAATTGAAATGTATGTACCTTATTTGGATTTTTATTAAAACATAAATTTTTCAAATATTTTATGACATGGCTGGTGAAACTTGAACACTGGCTAATTATTTGATGATATTATACATTCATTATTGGTTTTATGTAA